TATAAAACGCAAGAAAATAGAAACGTGTACAACATAGGAAATCTTTTCTCGTATCAAGAAATATTTACTCAGTGTTGTTATTCACAAAAGCAAGCAAGGAGAAGGAGGATGAGAACATTTTCTATTGCCGTGTGAAATAGTGTTTGCTTCTTTATTTTGTTAATGACTCATATTAGTGAGTAAGATTTCTTTCTCTTGTTCAACAAAATAATAAACGTCAATCTGATCTTTTCTTTTCTTGTAAGATTATGGATTCTGCTGTTGATAGTACAACATTCATTAATCCTGCTGAAGTTATTTCTCTCCCAGAAACTGTTAACTATTCCGTATTAAAAAATATTTTGACTCATCAACGTCTTACATTAGTCACAGATATTCGTGAAGATTATTCGTTTCTAAATTTAAAAAGAGCAATCAAAACTTATAACAAACACGTTTCGAAATTATCATTATCTAAAACGTTTAATTTTTATACTGATGTTATACCACACATTGCCAAATGGGCTACTGATAATGAGCAATCAAAATGTTTTCAACCACTTCAAGCTGGTAAACCAGGGAAAGTAACTTATACCATTTCACAAGCACGTCACATTTTGGCCAATGCATTTTTCCTTAATACAACATCGATTAAAACTCGACGAATAATACGAAAAGGTGGTTATGAAACATTTGGATATGGAAATATTGATTTAACTGATTTATATGAAAATGTAAATCGTATTGGTCAAGAACGTCTCTTGTGTTTATTATCTTATTTTCATCAATCGATTGAAGAGCAATCAAACGAACGAGTGATTACAATCGAACGATACGGTACTACAGTCACTATTCCTCACTGGTCAACTCAAGATATGATTATTCACTCATCGATAGTCAATATATTTACTGATCGAATGGAAAATGTACAAGATGCTAATGCTTTTGTTGATTTTGCCAATAAAGATATTCATATTCATTGTATTATACCATGTTGTACACAAGAAGAAATTTTATTTAGCTGTTGTCCAGAAGCATTTTTATCCATGTTAATATGTGAAACATTGATGGATAATGAAGTTGTTCTTATTCGTGGTGCTAAACGTTTTGTTGACTATGATGGTTATGGTTCAAGTTTTCGATTCAATGGAATATATAATAATAATTCATCCAATTGTCAAGATATTTTAGTAATGGATGCATGTTTTGAAAATCAATTTACTCGAGATATGATTGAACGTGATCTCGGTAAAGCTTTTAGAGCATTTTCAAGTCAAACAGGAAAAATTGTTACCGGAAATTGTAAGTTTTAGAATTATACTAATGTTATATCATCTTTCCTTCTGTTGTTGTTGTTGTTTTTTTGAGGGGGATGTGGTGCATTTGGTGGCAATTTTATTCATAAGTTTTTACAACAAGTATGCGCGGCAACTGTTCTTCAAGGACAAGTGACCCTAGAATATTCGGTATATGGTCAGGAAAAATTGGCAGATACATTGAAAACCTTGATAGATACTTTGAATGAAAAGAAGAAAACGGTGAAAGAAGTGTATAACATGATGATAGAATATACTAAAGATAAAACTGAATTTGAACATTACGTTAAACATTGGTTGAACAAGTAACTTTTGTTTCTTTCACATCACATAAAATTTTCATTAGTGTAAGCCATCGTTTAAATTTTTATGGATAATAATGAATAATGACTTTTCTTCGTCAATGTATCTCGTTTTCTTTCGTTGTTTGTATAATAGAACTGAATAAACAACAAATAGTATTATTATTTCAACAATATTTAGTATACGAGAAATGTATTTAGAAATTGCAAAAATATTTTTCATTAGTGCAGACATAACTTGCATATAAAAATACAGGGTATATCATGATTATGGACCCCCATAACATGTACATAGTAAAATGTTTATTTTATTGTAGTAAGGAATGATATTGATCTGCTAGTAGCACGGCTATGTAAGACTAATTACGCACTATCTGATGCCCTAGCATCTCTCTTTTATCTTTTGTTCTATGAAGAAAAAAATGGAGAAATGCCTGTAACATAATTATAATTATTTTTAATTATTATTCCTAACGAAAAACTAATAAGACGTACAGCTTCTTTAAAAGGTTGGACATATGCACATGACATGGACTATTTCTAGAAGCACCGAAGTACCAGAAATAGTCCATGTCTATCTACTGGTGCTATTAGAATTCAATTTCGATTAACTTTTGCCGGAGCGATATTTGGAAATCGTCGTCTGGAGGGCTCAAAGCTAGTCTCATTTGAAAGAGCAGATCAAGTTGCATCGAAAACTATTTTCAAAAGTTTGTGCAAATGAAATTCGATCGGAAAAGTATATTCAACAATTTAGCATTGTTCTCATCAACAAAATGGTGTTGACAGACAATGGTCATATTCAATACCCCAACAATATCAATAGATATTATTGTCCTTTTTTCAAAACCACTATCATGTTCGGATTGAGATGAACTCGCTGTACAAATCGATCTCTAAACAACCACAATCATGTTTGCTTACACGTGAGAAATAATAACAGGTTCAAATGGTGTTAGATGAAATTTGACTATTCGGTGTTGTTCGCATCGATTCATTGATCGTTCGTTGATTCGAGTAGAAAACCCTCCTTCTCAGACAGTATTCGAATCTTCGAATGAACAAAGAAGTCATTGGAATGGTCAATATGATGAGTGGAAGATTTACAAGATAATTGCGTTCAGTGTTCTCAGTATTGGCTCACCAGTGAATGAGTTAGATATTGATTTGGAACAAACCTCTTCGAGCCATCCGAATTGCGTGTTGTTCTGTGCAACGGACATATTCTTCGAAAGGTGTTTTCCGTCCTTACTTGTTGTGAAAGACATTTGCTTTCCACCTTCACAGTACATGATGTGAGTGTGATTACACGCTTGAGAATAGAAGACGTTATTCGGTTGACTCAATGCGAATGATGTGCAATGCATGGTCGTCTGCGCATCTGCACTGCAATTCAGTCCATAGTGACATTTCAGATAGACTTTGCTCTTCTCCAGCGAAGTACGAAGATCATTTTTGACGTAAATCAGAGCAGGTAATTGATCAATAATCTTTTCCAAGAGTTTCCAACCATCGGATGCAGCTTGAACAAAATCATCGATGCCGGAAACGGGGTTTTGCTGACTAGGATTGAAACCCTCGAGTATCGAGGAGATTGTCCGATCAGAAAGTCCGTCTATGTTCCCTTGATTACAATGCTGTTTGTACAATAGGTAATTTGACTTTTTTGTGCTTGAAGCATTTGCCTAGGTAAAGCCAACAGTTCACCACTGTCCAATTTCAACCTCGATATCCCCCATGAAATCGTCGTCAACAACTTTGATTCTACAATCCAGTCGATGAAATAGCCAATCTTGTTTGGATACAGACGCTGTCTCATTTTTGGCCTAAATGACCAAGGGTGCATTGTCGTGAGCAATCGAGATCAATTAATGGCCCTTACATTTTCATATTTTCAAAGTTTCTTGGTTTCTCGTACGCAAACAAGCACCAAACCAAGTGTTCTTATTGTAACAACACTCTCCATTTTTATTCGCCTTCGAAACGGATGATAGTTGCGCGAGAATGCAAGTTATTTGTAACGCAAATAGGTCCCGATCTTGTCAGTAGATGTTCGAATATTTGAAAAATGAAAGAAGCTGGTTTTCAGAACTGAATATTGCTATGTCTAGTACTAATCATTTATTTGATGAACCATAGATCGAAATAGGAGATCCTTCTCCACATCTTTACGACAGAAAGCACAATAAGACATTCGAAAAATGCTGCTACTATAGTCTATCTTATTTCTGATTATTTCGCGAAGCAGAAATGTTGGGAGAATCTAACACAATCGGAAAGGCAAACAATTCAGATATGTGCAAGATTGAAAAGCGTCTATGTAGTAGTAAATAGTTGAAATTTTCAAAGAAAAATGCTCAGGTAAGAGTGGTGTCTGGTAGATCTATCAATAAAAGCGTTGTTAAACTAAGCTAATCTCTTTTTTCCGTTTTTATTGACGTGTGCAATATAGTTTAAGTCAAAAGCACAAATGGGTGTCAATTATGAAACAGCTGAATGTCTTCGTCTCCGAGTGAATAAAAATAGCACTGGTATCAGACGTGGACACTGGCATCAAGAATTATCAATGAAATTAAAGGTTGAACGCTGCTATGGTCCTCGGTGACCTTTTTCCGCTGAATCTTTTATGAATTACCATCAGTGTTAGTCATTATCAAATCAATGGAACAATATAGTTTTGTCGATAGATAAACACCTGATGGCATCTATCGCTTTCTTCAGTCATATAGATGACGTAGACGCAACCGCAACTGCTGACTTGAAACAACTTTCGAATGAGAAAGATCCTGCTGGTCTGATGGTGTACCCGTCTTCGTATTATTACAGTTACTTAAAGATGATAGTGTACGAAGAAGCGATCAAAAACATTGCCATGTGGCTGACAGAAGGACATCGAGGAAAGGAGCAGTACAGCAGAACGAGTAAGAAGAAAAAGTAGAATAAGAATGTGCTCGCATTGACTCGTCTCGTTCGTTCTTATTATGCTTAACGTGCTTTGGCACGGTGAGGCACGTTCTCTAGTGCTCTATCGCACTGAACAGACACACGTTCTGCGATACTATTTAAAGACAGAAGCTTTCTTAATGAGGCGAAATTGTAGTCCATAAATTTCTGATTAAAACGAAGCATCTCCCAGCTCTACACGACCTTTCTTTGCAAAGTTATAGAATTTACAAGAAAAGCCCTAAATTACTTTCTTCTTATTTCTGTAGCTTTGAGCTGACAATGAACGTTTAGGGCTTTTCTTGTAAATTCTATAACTTTGCAAAGAAAGGTCGTGTAGAGCTGGGAGAGGTCTCATTTTAATCAGAAATGTGCGGGCTACAATTATGCCTCATTAAGAAATGTTTTGGTGTTTTTCTGGAATTTCTGGAAAACCAGTTTTCCAGAAAACCGGTCTCTGGAGGCCTATTGGCCCGTCTCATGTTGATATTCGGAATCAGCATGGTTGACTACCTATAGTCAAATTTCAGCGAAATTCCATGCTGCATGACGGAGAAAACGCATAAATAAAATTTAATGGTTTTGGACAGGAGACTCTCCAACGAAAGGCTCATTTTTTCCGAAAGAAAGAAAGTGACAGTCGGGAAATTTTTTATTTCGTGATCCCTGATGATACTAGTATATAGTCCGACTAAAGAAAAAAATTTCCAAGCAAGTTTATTTTGTTGACTTTTTTTAGTCAAACCGTACAATACCAGCGCAATCAGCTCATATACATACAGTAAAATAAACTAACGTTGATAAAAAGAAAGATCGATGAAAAACCCTTTGAAAAGTCAACGTTTGAAACTTAGGCTTTTCTATTTGTACTTTATTCTCGGTTGTTTTCTTAAACCATACCTCGAGTTTTTGTTTCCATCTCTATCGGTTTTTTTACTTTATCCTTATTGCTAACTGGTTCTTTTACTTGGGTGTTAGTTATGTAAAATTCTTTCCCCTTCTCGGTTCTATCCATAGCTTAATAGTTGATTTCCATTGTGGACTTATGCTCTTACATCTATTATATCCATTATTAGCTATTGTGTACGATGTTTCTAACTTGTTTCTCCCCTGCCAATGTTTTTCTTTATCAAAAATGACACTATCTTCAAAATTAGTTAAGCATTCTGGACTACTCTCCGAATGTTGAACTAATTCAGAACCTTCTAGATCTCTGTATTTGACTTTACGAATACGCTCAGATATACGTCATACGAACATGTTTCTCCAACGTAGATATTCCCACATTCGCAAGGTATCCCACCCATACCATCGCGTCCTCTTCTGATATATTTCCTCTTCTTATATCAGTAGTTTTCCCTATAAGTTTTGCTTTATTTAAAATGGAACTGTATTAATAATAATAATATAAAATAATAAGAACTTGTAGTTGGCATAGCTGCACGTTTCTTTCTTTAAATTCATCAGTTTGTACATCAGTTCGCTACCAACTGATGAGCTTTTTCCGGTCGCGAAACTACCCCAATGGGGCTAGGCGAACACCTGCAATATGTGATCTGTGTCATTTATTGCTTTTCCTAACTTCTCCTGTGTTAGAATACTCTCTTTTATCGTTCTGCGTTTCCAATCTTGTTCCCAGGCTAATGTCTCAACCTTAGAGAAATCGAATTCATGATGATACTTCTGTACGAACTGATGAATTTAAAGAAAGAAACGTGCAGCTATGCCAACTACACGTTCTCCTTGACTTATTTTTCTTCTTTTTCTTCTTTTTCTGTTCTATCCTTCTTATCTATTCGTTTTTTTTTCTACCATCGTTTGTTCGAATGTCTATTACATTCCTGATGATGCCAACTGAAAGCTGGCGAAAGCTCGAATAAAGTATTTTCAAGATTGAAAGTCATGTTATTCATAGCAGTTCTATATTCGATTTACAAATATAAAATAACTCGAGTTTTTCAGTTACTACATGTCTATGTGGAATAACTACCACATAGGTTGTATATTATCTTCTTTCCTATTTTTGTTTTTATTTTCTCTACTTTTATTAATTTTCTGGAAAACTTTTCCACTACTCTTTATGAGTAAACACTGCTATTTCAGATTTGTTTCAACTCGAACATATCTCTGTCGTTTTCTTTATTGTTATTACATGTTGTTATTCTTTTCATCATATTAGTAATTATATTTTGCTTTATAGCATAGCTATGATCTGAATCAAAATTTAATGCTTTGAACCAGCCGTTGGTTTCCGAAACCGCCTAGTCTCTATTATTCCACTTATTCGATCTATCTGAATACAGATAGTCGACAATGCTATCTTGTGTTCTACTTCGTATTCAAAAGCAAATTCTAAATCATTCTTACTATTGAGATCTACTACTAATTCCTGGATTTCCTTTTTATCCATTTCTGAAACTAACAGTATATTATCAATATATCGTGATAAGCCAATATAAGGATATTTCTGATAATCCCAGTTATACAGCAAAAATTCATTTAAAGCTTTGTCCGCTAGAAATGGCGAGATAGAACACCCCATCAGCAGACCTTTAATTTGTTTGAAAAAATTATTCCCAAATTGAAAACTAACATTTTCTAATTACTGGTTCTGTTCATTTGCTGAGTAGGTATGCACCAGTTGTGGTTAACTGTAACTGTTAAACGGAAGAACTGTAAAACTGTTACAGTTAAAACTGCTACTGTTAAGGGTACCCACCATATTTCCAGTTGTGAATTGTACATCGCCAAATGTGGACGAAAGCCTGGTCTGTAAAATGCGTCCATCTCCAGCATTCCACGAACATTGTCTTATAGAGCAAAGTGTTCGTTTCTCAATGAGTGCTGTTATGATCTCATTAAGATGTGTTTATTTTGACTACAAACTTCATAGTCTCTATGTTAAACAAGTCTGAAAAGCGTATATTTCTGCTAATATTCTTGTAGCTGTCTTCACAGACCACTCATTACACTAGAAATGGTTTGTGAGTAAAGCTTGAATGGTAGAGAAAAAAGGCGAAATACCGTGACAGACAGCTCTAAAAAGCTAGATTCGAAGTGGTTTTTTGATGAAAAATAACAGTTATTTTTACTTTTAAGCATTCCTTCTCGCATATTCTTGATTAGTTCGCCCAGCTCTATCGACTGGCATATTCGAAAAAAGTTCCATTCCTATTCCCTATCGAAAATAAATTATTATTAGCAATTCAGCGTCAAAAACGTTGGTAATTTATTAAAATTTCTTTTTGCAACAAAATGTAGTTCGAAGCTCCCAAAACTACAGAAGACTACATAGAGTTGAATTCGCTATCGATCTTCATCGAAATTAAAACATTTTGAGAAGGGACCAATTTCTACGGGATTTTAGACCCCGTCCTTTATTCGGCATGAGTGCGCACTTGTGCACAACCAATACCGACAAAAATTTCTTACACAGTATAAAGATGCACTAAAAAATCCTTTCATGACCGGTATTTATGTGAAAAGAAGCTGTACTACAGCAAATGAACAGAACCAGTAATTATTGGTTCTGTTCATTTGCCGAGTAGGTCTTTTCTATGCATAGAAAACTATATAATCTACTAAAGAACAACAGTATATTGAACGAGACGGAGATAGGACCCTAATAATCAGGCGATCGCTTTTCTAACATTGAATTTGAAGGACTGTACATATCTAAAGATTCTTTGTTTTTAAATTACTGAATAATACATCAAGCCATTTAAGTCTTTTAATTTTTAGAAACACATAGGATTTCTGAAGAATTTTCTGAAGATCAAAAGCGTTTATAACTAGCTCCTGAACGTTAAAGGAAGTGTGTAGTGGACTACTTTTCTCCGCCGCAATAGTGAATCATCCTTTTTACTTAACGTTAATTCTCATCTCTTCAGTCCAATGGTCACTGAAATCGGGTTACATCTGTATCCCATTGCATCTGTGCCCAAAGGTGCCGAGGCAATGAGCATGAGATAGCTTGTCCAAGACGATCACGCATACGCCGTTGCCGCGATTCGAACTCCGTATCTTTGAAGTACGTTGTCTGCCCATTAGCCGGCTGAGCCACGCTGCTCGAATCCGCGTTATGTTATTCGCTTTTTCTTGAATTTGTTCTATAACATAATGTTTCATTTTACTTTTTGAAAACAAAGGACGGAGGATGATAAAAGCTAATTCGACCACTTCTCAAAGCAGTCTTATGTTCACTCATTCAATGCAGTTTTTGCACGCGATTGACCCTAGCATATTTTTAGACCTTCAAAATCCTTTTCTGCGCCGCTGCAAACATTATAACAAAAAAACTGTTCCCTCGTTAAATGACTTTCACTCGAAGTATTTTCATTATTCCACCTCTTTCACTTAGAGCAAATATCAATTATAATACACCGTTCGATAGAGAATTTCATGGGCTACAAAATGATATATAAGACACTCACAAAAAATGTAACTAGGTGGTCTTCGATCCGAAATACTCGGTACTATCTCAGTACATCGGTAGGTCAATCTCGTACCGGTCTTCACACTTAATGCCCTTAAAAAGGATGAGTATGATCAACCGTTTCGAACGGCGCCGTGAATCACCTATATTCTTGGATCAACGAACGTTCCTTTAAATTCGCCTATGAACCTCGTTCAGACGGCGAAATCGCTCGTCACCAAGACTCAGCCACGATTTAGAAATGTCCCGGTCAATTTATGCACGATCCCTTGTCGACTTGACAAGTCAAACGTGCCATTATTAAAATTTTTGTTTTTGGAATAAAAAGAGTCAATTGGTTTGAATACATGGAAGTTTCAAGGAAGAATATGTATAGACTTCTCAAAATCCATTTTTGAATTAACAGCAAGTAAATTAAATAATGTGATCACGCCTCATTATGTAATGCATTCCTGGGAATCAAACGCATGGAAAATAGCTGAGATATTTAGACAATTTCATCTTTTAACCAACTTTTTCTAATATTCCTATTTGAACGTTGAGGACGAAAAGAGACAGCATAATGATCACAAAAACATGTTATATCTTGAACAACTTCAACATGACTTATATAAGTAAGATGACTAGTGATGTGAGAACCAGGGAATGTGTTTCAGGTGAGACGAGTGGACTTATTCAATAATTTGAGAAAAACAGTTTACTCACAAAGTCTCTCAAATACGTTCCTTCTTTTATTGTGAGCTTTGCGGGTACTTTGCACCAGTCAGCTCGGTGACCATTCAAGTAATTGGTAAAGATAATCAAAATTTTATTTTCAAGGGACTAAAAATGATACTGTTTTGATGATCAACTCTGAAAAGCTTAAGTTCCGAGATTTAGCACGTTTAGTCTGAACATGTTTTTCATCTTAGTATTAGAGGAGCACGTTTAGTTGATTATCAAGTTACTTGTCTTTCTTGCGAAATGTTGACCTTCTTAATGGCTTAGCTTAGTAAACTAACAATAGATGCAGCAACATGAAGTCCTTCAATAACTGTATGTAATCCATCTGGTCCAGATATTCTTTGATTGTATGACTGTATTATTGCTTGCAACTGTTCCAATGTCACTGATGATGGTGAAAATACATCAAAATAACAATTTCGACTGTTCTTTCCAGCTTGTAAAAAGGTATGTATTCTTAGACCTAATCTCTGTTGTTGTTGATCGGCTACCAGTAATTGTACGCCTTGCAGCAAGTATGTTCGAAATGAAATGAAATACAATTCATCAATTATCAAACCCTTTCCATAGAAAACAATATGACCATATTGACGATCCATCAGTCGATCGTAGGCTGAACGTCGACAACAGAAACATGATAGCGGAGCCATTTCTGTCCATCGTCGATTGGGGCCATGCATATAGTTTAAATAGCGTACCCATTCTTCACCATCCAACCGCCAAATAATCGGTTCTTGTCCGCCTTCAATTTCGTTCAAATCATTGAATTGTTGTTTCAATTTATAAAAGATACAACCGCCAGCAACAAGCGCCATGAAAAGACCCATGCCAAGTAGAGTTGAGCCGATGATGAGGAAGACAATGCGCTTCGATGAACGCTGGTCAATGTCACCGTTGGATTTTGGTAGAGCGAATGATACGATTAATAATACCAGACCAATTAAGCCGAGAATAGCAAAAATACCGATAGCATATTTCATGTGTTTACGCTCACGATTTTTGTGAAAATCAATTAGTTCACTTATAGGAAGAGAAGAAAGAGCAATATTTGTTCGTGGACTAAAGCGAGCTTCAACATTCGATGATAATGGGCCCTACAACCGAAACAACAATCAAAATCTGTTCTTTTCACGGTGGATTTAGAAAAAATCGTTTTCTGCAACTCTTCCCCTGAATTCGTCGGACTGAAAGTTTGTACGTGAAGAAATTGCTGGAAATCTGAAAATTTTACCCACCCTATACCTTCCTTCCCCTAACGCTTGCGGCTGTACGTGACCCACGGACAATACTGAATATACATTATACCCGCAGACAAACTAATACCTACGTAAAACGTACACACTCGCGATACGGGTTTCATCCAGCCCCACTTTAGCCCATCACGTTTGAATGGAGGAGGTACACTTTAGATCTTTAGTGTTTTCTCAAAATGACACGTCTTCCAGTCTTTTAATACAGAGAAGATAGAAGGGTTTACTTTAAAACTCTTGCAGAAAGCGATATCAGACTTTTTTAGTCGAAGAAAAACAATCGTTGATTACACTTGATTGCTGATCATTGATGTAGATTGTAGTATTATTAGTATTGGATTTTGGTTGTTCATTAGACTGAGGATCCATTATGCTAAACATAAAATCAATAAAGTTTTTAAAACAACGACTTTAAATTTTGGCAGAATGTCACTTTTTTATTCGCGATTAGATATTTGTTGTGTAAAATTATAAATTAGTTCTTTTTTTAAATTCTAATTTTGAATCAGCTAAATGGAATACATACTTCACTTTTCTGAAATTAATTTTTAAGTTTAGGCTCTAGTTTAGAATTTTTTCTACAACAATAAATCTGCATGTGCGCCTTTTTCATACCTTTTACTTGAAAGAAACGTAGATTACTATTGTTTTATCTGTTACAAAAAGCAAACAAATATATTTTTACAATGATACTTACAGAGTATACAGAGATGTACGCGGAAAATGTGAAGACTTATTTTATTAGCCTATTAAAGTTCAAAGCTTATCGAGAGAATGCGCAGGTTCGTTTAGAAATATTAATAACCATTTCCAGCTTTTTCTTTAACTCGACATTACGCTTTGAAATCTCACTGGATATAAATTCTAAAGTGAGTGACAGAGCAAAGATCTGCTTTTTCTAATCGGAATTTTCCCTCTATCTGGAATCAAATGATCTGAGGTTGTAGAGAAACATGTCTATCTATAAAGTGGAAAAGCAATATTACTCTTGAAAGACTAAATATACTGGAGAAATCCGTTTTCTCTCAGTAGATGGCGCCAAAGACCAAACAACGCCGAAATGCAAGAGTTGCTCTTATAGTTGACGAGTTAACTATAAGAGACAAAAGGTTGGCTTCTAGCACAGTAGCTAATCAATAGGTTGGATGGCGATATTGACTAACGATGTGCTGCTGTCGTGTGTGTGTTATTGAGTTGATTTTTGAAATTTTTATTCACAAAAAACACAGAAGAGGAGACCAGTATCAGAAATGTAACCGTTCCGGTCCTGTCGAGACTTATCAACCGGTCGGTTGGACGGGTTCTGGTCAGACTACTGGACCGGGACCGGTCGAATTGGCTTACAACTAGGAAATATGACAGAAAAAAGCATATTTATATCGAACCGAAAGCAAAAAGCACTGGTCGTTTACCGGTCAAATTTTTTGAAAAATGGCTAGTTAACCGATCGGTCCGGTCTGCATATATTCGTCGGTCACCGGTAGCCGGTCGGTACCGGCCATGGTTTTGATGACCGGCTACAACTCTGACTAGTATTAGAATGGTAAAGTGTTTTCGAATTTCTTCGTCAGTAGCAAACAAGTAAAACACACACGAGAAGTAGTATTATATATAGAACACTCTAAAAAAGATGCGACTTCGGTGATGTGTCTGCTGAGAAAAAGTGTCTTGCATGTGACTATATTACGTCTTCAAAATACTAGGTGTTTTCTATATGTCTTCAATGGGTCTACTAGTAGGCATATGGAAGTCACATAGGAGTCACATGGAAGACGTGTGAACGAGAAAGACGCTTGGTAGTCACATCATTCCGCCTTCCATGTGCTGTTTTTAATCAAGGTCCTACACGAAATGTCAACGTAAGAGACTAATAAGACTAAAAACTAATGTGCCTGTGTGGTTCAGTGGTGAATACATTCGTCTCGTAGGCGAATGGACCGAGTTCAATTCTTGACAGGAACAAAATTTTTTTAATGCGTCTTTTCTAGAAGACACATCAAAGCGACTTCGACAAAGGCACTAAAATACGACTAAATGGGATCCGACTTACGTGTCTTTAATGTGACTAGAACGAAGACGCTATAAAGTGACTGCCAGGTAAAGTCACATCATGTGTCTTCAGAGAAGACACTAAAATGCGGCTTTTTGGGATCCGACTTATGTGTCTTCCTAGAAGTAGCATTTTTTTTAGAGTGAAGACTACAAAAATTCAGTGGTTAAAATGATGAATCATGTCTTTCTAGCAATCCCAGGAGAAAAATCTTGAATGCAGATCTTGATAAATCTTTAAAGATTTCTCAAGTTTCGCCCCAGATCTTTCAAGAACTTGTGCAGATTTATCGAAATCTGTCAAGATTCTGAATGGAAGGCAATG